CTAACTCCCTCTAACTCCCACTGACTCCCACTAACTCCCTCTAACTCCCACTGACTCCCACTGACTCCCACTGAAGCTGAGCTTCAACAGGGTTTCATACACTCCACGTCTACAGGAAGGTCTGAGGAGAACCTGTGATCAACAGCTGGTTCTGGATGGACTAGTCACACAGTTGACCAGGTTCTAGTCAACTTTAGATTAGAGAGAAAGAGACTGAAGCTTGGCTCCCCCTCTCATTCTCCTCACCCACATGTCAAATTTGGATTTGTTTTCCTTCGTTTTTACATTCCTGGAAGAGCCACGCCCCTGACCCCCCGCCTCACACCCAGAAAGTCTCTTCATCTGTGACCAGGAGTGAGTGGCACGGCTGGTCGTCGTCCTGGAGCTGCTTCCTGCTGCCTGTGGACCTCACGTCTCTGCTGTGAATTCCGTGGAATGTCACCTCTCCTCATAATGGGACATTGACACATCTGTCGTCAAAAAACATGTGAGCGTTTTTCTGTGCTGTTAAACTGTCAGCACCGAGGCTGTGGAAAAAAGGAGGAAGGGAGGAAAGTGGTGAGGGAGGTGAGGAAAAGTAAAAAAACAAAGTGTTTAGGAAAAGAAAAGAGCAGAAAAGTTGTGAGGTCACCTTTTATAAATAGACGTCGTCTTCAAGAACCAATCAACATCTGTGATTTTGAACAACATCTCAGTTTGACCAGTGATGTTGGAGCAGCAGACATTTGAAAGTCAAACACACGCTGGCCCTAAATGGTCTTACAACTACAACATACATGGGATGGGGGGGGGGTGTAAGGATGGTGAGGGGCGCTCCAAACCAGAGGAAGGGTGTGTGAGTGTAACATAACACCAAAAGAATTACACCACAGGAAAAAAAATAGTGAAAAAGAGTGGGAGGGAGGGAGGGAGGGAGGGAGGCAGGGAGGGAGAGAGATCCAGACTGTCAAGGTATTTCCGTCTGCAAACACAACACTTATGTGTAGTGTAGTGGAGTCAAGTCAGTGCTCCCCCTACAGTACATCCAGAACTAGAGTCCCCAGATTCTGCTGGTACCTCGGTGCTGGTACCTCAGTGCTGGTACCTCACTGCTGGTACCTCAGTGCTGGTACTTCAGTGCTGGTACCGTGGTTCTGTGGACCTTCACTGTCTGGCATTAAAGCCGCTGCTGGTCAAGAACAGCCTGACTGTCCAATCAGTGGGGACTGTCCTCAGGTCAAAGGTCAACTCTCTTCAGTCTTACTGACCTGTCGTTGACTAAAGTTGACTAGAACCTGCTCCCTCCTCTCCTCCTCTCCTCAGCTGCTCCCTCTGTACAAAACAACTAAGAACATTGTGTCATTAAATGGTTGTTGCTGCCGCCACAAATCACACACACGTGTTTGATGCTCGCATGCCAAAGAGAACCCCCCCTCCCGTGTTTCTGTTCAGTCGACACGATGAGGTGAAGAACGTTGTTGGAGAGCAGAGCGGTCGTTCGGTGCCTCAGTGTGTGCTGCCACCTCACTGTGTCGTTCCTATGTTTGCAGCCAAAGATACCGGTCTGGAAGAGTTTGCCCCTGGGAAGGAGAGAGAGAGAAAACCAGGAAGGAAAAAGGGAAGAAATTCCCAGGGTTGTTCAGGATCCAGGTCTCCTGAGGGCAGAGTGGTGGAAGCACTGGGTGGAGGGTAAGAAGGCAGAGCAGGCAGGAGAACAGAGGCAGTTCTGGATCACCTTCAAAGAGCTCCGATCCCACTGAACAGACTGGATTCCTCTAATGAGGGGGGGGGTAAAGGACACAGGAGGGAATAAAGATGGAGAATCAGTTCAGGTTTTGTCTCTGTATTTCTCCTCCTTCTCCTCGTCTACCCCCCCCCCCCCCCCCCACCTCCTCCTCCTGCCTTCTGACATGTGAGTACTTGCCCTTCACTTCCATCATCCTTCTGTGAGATGCAGCAAATCTGGCCTAAACCAAGGAATGTTGGTGCCTCCCTTACACGTGTGTGTGTGTCAGGGATGAGTGGGTGTTAACCTTCTCTGGCCCAGAAAGTCAGAGTAGGTTTCCAAATCCACAGACTGAATATGAATTCCAAATATATGAATATATATCCAAATATACATTTATCCTGACTTGACTAGAAGTCACATGACGTCACTGAGTGAACGTCACTGAGTGAACGTCACTGAGTGAACGTCACTGACCTTTTGTGCCTGCTCAGCCGTTTGTTTAGCTTCAGTAACAGAGAGTGAACCCTGACCCAGCTGTACCTCTAAACAACTTCGTTTATGAAGTACTTTTCTGTGAGTACTTCAGAGCAGCCGTCTCCAACCTTTTCCCCCCATTAACCCACGGACCGGTCTGCAGCCCGGGGGGGGGCACCACCACTTTATAAAGGCATGCTGGATCTGTAGTACAAATCCCCCCCCCCCCCCCCCCAGGACTCCACACTTCCTGGTCTTAAGATTGTATGTCACAGGTTTTGGGGAGGGATCAGCTGGTCATGGTTGGTGTGTGTGTGTGTGTGTGTGTGAGAGAGTGTGGATGCTTCACTTTGCTTCTGCTCCGACCACAGACGTCTCCCTCGGCTCCTGCTGTGAAAACAGGACATTGTTTCCATAGAAAATGTATTTAATTTAATGGGAGGAAAGATATAGAGAGTTCAGAAAAGTCTGAAAACGACCAACATCACCATCAGGTTAAAGTAGAAAACAAAAAAAAAACTGTTTTTTTTTTTGTTCCTGTCGCCACAGAACAGGTGACAAAACAGTCGTCGTTAAACTCGTTTGGTTTTTTGACCTTTTTTTTTTATCCTGCAGATAAAACGACTTAAAAAAAAAAGACTGGTATACTGGAGTTGTTGACTGGTATACTGGTATACTGGAGTTGTTGACTGGTATACTGGTATACTGGAGTTGTTGACTGGTATACTGGTATCTCCCTTGTGATTGGAGGATTCCTTGAAGGTAAAAAGCTAATTTTCTTCTTCTGTTTTGTCACTTGTCGTCATTGTTGCCTGAGACAGTTCCAGATCCCAGCTCTCCAGAATACAAGATTAGTTCTTCAGTTTGTTTGTTTCCCTGGTACTCACTGTGGTACTGATTTTCTCTTAGACACTGATTCCTGGATCACATGAAACAGTCCCTGAGCTGCCGGTCCTTGTCCTGTGTACTGGAACCATTTCCTCCTGCACACCTTTACCAACATCTACAGTTGAAGA